TTGTTATTATTGTTATTATTATTATTAATCTGCTCCCTAGGATTGCAGGTGGAATTTTATCAGCCTGACCATTTCATTCATGCCTCCAGCTGTACAAAGCCATTCCTGATGTTTATTTTTCCTTTTTTTTCAGTCAGAGTGAAGGAGAGAGTGCAGACCCATTTCAGTTGTGTAGAGGATCCCACAGGCACATAAATGCAGGTGTGTTGGCTTTGGGGGTTCATTTTTTAATTGTTTTTTTGGTGGGAGGATTAATTTCATAAACTATAAAATTGGTGGTTTGGGCTTTTTAAAGCTTAGAAAAACATGGAACAAAGAACACAACTCAAATAACTTTCTGCTCTTTCTGTTTAAGCACTGAGTATGAAAACCAATTTTCTTTTGAGTCAGAGCTGCCCTGTTGTGCATCCTTGGCAATCTAAAAGCTCTTGCATTAAACCTACTCAGTGCTACCCTTTCCTCCTGGAGAGACAGAGAAGCAGGAATAAAAAATAAATGCCAATAAATCTTCTAAAACACACCATGACTCATAAACCATCAGCAGTTTCAAACACAAAGGGTGAGAGGGGAGAAAACAATGAGAAATATTTTGCTGTTAAGGGGCTGTAAAAATAGAAGCTGATTTTTTAAAGAAGGAAACATCAAATGAGCTGCTTAAATCACTCAGGCTCAAGTGTTGTTTTCCAGCCAAGGAGGTGCTGAAGGATGTGAAAGTTATTTCTGCTTTGAGGAGAGAAACCTTGCAGGAAAGCTGTGGCACCACCAAAAGAGAAGGGAATGATTTGGAGCAGAGTTCCCAGAACCAGAATAATCCCTGCCATTTCTTTTTTCCTGTTTTTACCTGGTTTTGGATGAATCCCCACCGGAGGGTTTGGAGGATGGTGGTGCAGTGATGGCTTTGTGTCCTGACAATCCCAACTCCCCTCACGTTTCCCTTTGCTCTTTTCTCTGCTCTCCCAGTATCTCAACGTAAAAGAAGATTGCAAAGCCATGGCTTTCTGTGCAAAAATGAGGAGCACCAAGAAAAATGAGCTCAACCTGGAGGCTCAGCACCAGGGGCTGGAAATCCTCTTCTACCTGCAGGACAAAGCCCCGCTGTGTTACTCCAGCGGGGAGTTCACCTCGGAGGAGCTGTGCATTGAGGCTGCCCAGAAGTGCTGTGAGTGTTGGGGTTCATTTCAGCTCCCAGGGGCCTGGCAGCAGCCAGGATCAGGCATCCTCTGTGGGGCAGACAAAGAAGAGCCTCCCTATGCCAAAAATCCCCACTGAGCTGCTCTGACCATGGTGCATCCCTCACGTGGCTGTGCTGTGCTCTTCCCTCTGAGCTGGGCTCAGCAGACACCTGCAATCCCACAGGAAAAGTGGATTTCATCTCTGCTCGATCTCACAGCCCGGTGGGATTTTGTATTTACAGTTCTGAGGTTCTTTCCCCATGGAACTCCAAACCTTACCCAGCTGCTGTGGGGTGAGAACGGGGGAACTGGGCAGGAATTTTCCTGCAGCTCTCAAATGTTTTCTTTGATTCTTGGAATCCCCTTCAGCTCATTTGCCTAATTGCTCCTCTTCCATGGGAATGGGTGAAATGATGGAAATCTGCAGGACAAACCTCACCAAATGAGTGCTGATATTATTTTTTAAGAGATTTAAGTGAGGGGTATTTCACACCCACCTGTTTATGTGGGTGTGCAGGAGCTGCTCTTGGGGGCTCTGAACCCACAGATGGTGCAGCTGCTCCAGAGCTGGGACAAGGAATTCCAGCAGGTCTGGGATGGAGGAAACATCCATCCCAAAGAGATCTGGGATGGAATAAACATCCATCCATCCATCCATCCATCCATCCATCCATCCATCCATCCATCCATCCATCCCAAAGAGATCTGGGATAGAGTAAACATCCATCCCAAACAGATCTGGGATGGAATAAACATCCATCCCAAACAGAACTGGGATGGAGTAACCATCCATCCCAAAGAGATCTGGGATGGAATAAACATCCATCCCAGAGAGATCAGGGATGGAGGAAACATCCATCTCAAACAGATCTGGGATGGAGGAAACATCCATCCATCCCAAAGAGATCAGGGATGGGGTAACCATCCATCCATCCATCCATCCCAAAGAGATCTGGGATGGAATAAACATCCATCCATCCCCAAGAGATCTGGGATGGAAGAAACATCCATCCATCCCAAAGAGATCAGGGATGGAGTAACCATCCATCCATCCATCCCAAAGAGATCTGGGATGGAGGAAACATCCATCCATCCATCCCAAAGAGATCTGGGATAGAGGAAACATCCATCCCAAAGAGATCAGGGATGGGGTAACCATCCATCCCAAAGAGATCTGGGATTGAATAAACATCCATCCCAGAGAGATCTGGGATGGAGTAACCATCCATCCATCCCAAACAGATCTGGGATGGAGGAAACATCCTTTCCCAAAGAGATCTGGGATGGAATAAACATCCATCCATCGCAAAGAGATCTGGGATGGAATAAACATCCATCCATCCCAAAGAGATCTGAGATGGAATAAACATCCATCCCAAAGAGATCTGGGATGG